ACAGTAGCTTTCCTGAAGCAGGAGAGCCACCCCCAGCTTCTGCCCGGCCGACCAGCCTGACCTATTGCTGCTACTGCTGCTGCGAATCCTGGTGCATGCTGGGAATCCAAGTGCATGCTGGGATTTCAGTCCGTTCCTCCATGCATTTTGGTTTTGCTTGGAACAGTTCCAGACTTGGAACTGTTGGTTTCTAGTCCATGGTGTGCACTCCCTGAGATGAAGTTAAGAACTTTGCGGGAAGAGAGAGACCTGAGGACCTGAGATTTTCAGGCCACCCATTGCACAAACCCAACTCTGGTCTAGAAGACTTCTACCAAGCACTAGCAAGAAGAATCCAGAAGAAAGTGCTTTTGCCTTCTTATCAGAGGATTGACTTTTAAGGTCTAGTCTGCTCTTATGAGGGGCAATAACTAAGTCCTGGAACATATCTAGGAAGCTGCTCACATAGAGACCACCCAGAGACACATCAGGTCCTGAAGGTTTTATGAACAGAGCTGTACGTACCAAGGCTTAGCCACATATCATGATGCCCCAGGAGCCAGTGGAACCTACTCATTGTAGAATTGTGTTGATCTCCTATGAAGAGGATCTCCACAATGCCTTTTATCGTGTGCCCAGGGGCAGTAACCCAGAAAAAACCAGCAGGAGCCTTTGGAGTACAAATACGAAGAGAGTAGAAGAGATCCTCTAGGTCTCTGGCTTCTCAGGAAGATGCGAAAAGACCAGATTAGGAGATTCAGTTCTCACCTTGGCTATTGGATGAAAATTTGAGGCAAATGCCAATGACTTACCAATTCAAGTCCCGCAAAGAAGTTGGATCAGAAAACGTCTTGGACTGGAAGAACAGAAGAGAAGAGCTTGCCTGGGAAGAAGAGGCTGACGGGGACCTGCCTGTATCCCAGGCTGGTGCTGGTGGTTGGCCATTTACTAAGTGCCTCACCAGCTTCAAACACTGGTCTCCCACTGGCCAGGATGGAGCCCCTCTAGAAATTGTGACTCATCAGAGATGTCCACATTCTGGGGCCTTCAGCTGGAAGAAGATTATATGGGGAAGTGTTGGGCTGGGTTTCTGTCCCTCCCCGCAAGAGAACAATGCTGGCTTAATCTTTACAAGATACTCTAGAATCTTATTTAGTGAAGGCAGAGGTCTGCAACCCAAAAAATGCAATGAGTCTCTTGCGAATGTCCCATGCTGCCATTTTCTCATGGTCCTGTACTCTGCAGACCACTTCTAGCTTGTCAATTCTAGTACTTCATGGCCTTGCCCTCTTTCCTTGGTTCATAACTACAGAGGAAGCTAGGAAAAGAAAGAGCTCTAACAAAGCTTCAAGAACTTGCCATCCTTGTCCTTGCTCACCACCAAGTTCAGAGCCAGTTCAGACCCCAAGTCCTCTTGAAATAGTCACAAGAGAAGGCATCTTGCAGGAACTCCATGCTCACTCTCACAATAGGCATTTGCCTTCAAAAGCACCAGATCTCTTCACCCACTGGGAAACCTGGCTCCAATGCTCAAGTTTGCCAATCAAGAATCACACACATCCAAGAAAACCCTTGTTGGATCTTTGGCTCAGCACTCCAAGATGGCGGCAGCAGCAGCAGCAGCAACAGTTCTTAGGAAATCCAGCCACTCGTCCCAGGGCTCTGGAGAGCAGCAGGGCTGGCCACCCATAAAGAAGCTGCAATGCTTGCGAAGCTGGAGTTGCCGACAGGAGTCCTAATGGTGGCCCTTGGTTTCTTGCAGACATTGATGAGTGCCTCTCAAGCCCTTGTCTGAATGGAGCCACCTGCGTGGATGCCATCGACTCTTTCACATGCTTATGCCTTCCCAGCTACCAAGGGGACCAGTGTGAGATCGGTACGGCCGTCTCGGCTTCAGCTAATGTTACTAACTGCTGCACCCCTCCTCTTCCTTCACCCTCCCATTCTAACCACAGGCTCTAGGCCCTGGTGGCGCCCCCAAGGTCCATCCAGACAGTCATTCCAGAGGCCACAACTGAGAATTCTGCCCCACTCACTCTCACACCTTCTTTTACTGTTCCCCATGAAAACCCTCCTCTGGGGCATTGGCTGATCCAACCGCAGGAGAGACATGCAGGCCGGGCCAGCCTGCACTTGGGAAGGTGGGGGTCTGGGAGACCTTTAAAACACTAACCTTCTCCAGGGCTTCCAGACCTGCTGATGCCACCATCGAGGGGGATGCAGGCATCAGACTAAGAGGACAGAGCTGATGCCATGCATTTGTCTTGAAGGAAGCAATGGGTGGGAGTCACTGGTTCTCACTCCGGATGACAGACACGGATCCTCCCAGCATGGTGGTGGGCACATCCATCTGCTGTATTGCCCATGGGACCTTTATGGCCCTTCCATGGCCTTGAGAGCCACCGTGCCATGCTGGCCAAGCTGCCTTACTCTTCTTCTCTGGCAAGAGCTATGGCTGGTCTTCCTGACAGCTCCCGTGTCACCAGCATGCTCAAGTCATGCATGAGCAGGGACTGCTGCATGTCACCTTCTCCTCATCACCACCATGGCAGCTGCCATGTCAATGCCACTCTGGCCCACGCTTCCTTTCTTCCTCTCTTGTGCAAGGCAAAAGCCTGGCCAGAGAAAACAGAGCCTCATTGCAAGGGACAGGGACTGAGTGTCCTCTCTTGGGCCTTGCCAACCCCTCCGCTTCTGCACCTGGGCTAGGCTCTGCCAAGGGGAGCTGTGTGCCAGGAACCTCCCAGGGCCAGCCTGAGCCCCCAGCTCTCTCACTTCTGATGCTTCCTACTCTCCCCTCATCCTCCTGGATCTCAGGGCCATCCCAACTCAGAAAGGGGAAGATGGGGCTTGCGGTTACTAGTAGCAATGACCCACACAGCACTGGAAGTGTGCAGGGGCTCAAAACCATTTTCAATGACTCAAGTTCTGACATTCCAGAAACTTCCAGAAAGCAGCTGAAACTCCTGGGAAGTCTCCCTTTGGTCCTAAGCAGTGTGGGGAGGTAGTTTTGGATCGCACATTCCTTGAAGGCACTGCCAAGGTTACAGACTGGTGGAGGAACTTAAGGCTTCTGGAAGAAAAGGCCTGGACCCTCCTCCTCCCCTGCAGCCTCCCACCCTCCACCTTCACCCCAAGACCCCAAGAAATCGGTGCGTGGGGTCTTGGCTGGAGTGGGATTGGAGAGTTACAAGGATTTTCTCCCCAGGACGCCAAAATATTTGCCACAGGGGAGAAGAGTCTGGAACGTCCGCACAGACAACAGGTCTGGGGCACCAGACTGGGAGGCAGGTGCTCTGCTGGAGTGGAGGCAGGGCCCGCACTCTGATGGAGCACAGAGATGGTGCCGCAGCTGCCCAGCTGGGCTCTGGGCTGGGGCACCCAGCTGTGCGAGGCCGCATCTCTTCTCCAGTCCTGAGCACTCACCACCCCACGGGTCCTTCAGGCCTTGGCTCCGCCCTGCCGCTTCTTCCAGCCTTCTGGAATTCTGTTGCTATTTCCCCAGACCCTCCATCCTGCATGGCCCCGCGCCTCCCCGGAGCAGCTGCGCCCTCCAGCTATGCCTGCGCAGCTCAGCCCGCCCAGCTCAGCCCTCAGGCACTGAGGTGGCCCAAGAATTGGCCCCATGAGTCAGCGCTGGGATGATGTCTCTGGCCTCTGCAGGTGCTGAGTTACCTCTGAGGCCTCACCACCTTCTTTCCAGACCTTTGTCTCACCCCATGGGGAAGGCATTGGCAGCAGGGGGCCAGCAGCATCCTCTTAGCCCTCCTGCTGCTCTGCCTCTTTCTTTTCAGGCTGCTGGCCCCCGACTCTCCTCTCTCTCTGCTCTTCCCAAGTGTCTCTCTTCCAACCCTGCCAAGCATCCACCCCTTCAGCCTAAGCCTCCTTCCCCGCAGGTCCTGGTCCTTCCTTCCTTCCTGGGACAGCCAGACTATCAGTGCACCCAATCAGGGAGGCTGCCATACAGCCTGACGGGTTCAGGGCCCTACACGCAGCCCCAGGCCCTAGGGGCAGCCCTTCACCTGGGAGGCCCCAGGGGAAGAAGGAAGAGAGGGTCTTGGAATTCCTCTGTCTAGTGCTATGCTGGCAGATGTTTAACAACCGGCTCTCCAAGAGGACGGAGGAGCCCTGGTTGTAGCATCTGCCAATTTCTGGGATATAATACTCCCACCAGAGCCAATTTAAAGCTACCAATGTGATGTCACTGAAGGCAGAGTCGGGAAGACACACTCACAATGGCTCTCCCAAGCCTGAAGGAGCCAGCCCCGCATGTCCCAGCCTCTGTCTGTCCTTCTAGGCTGCTCCAGGAGCTCCAAACTAGTCCTTTCTCCTGAACTTAGGACCCATGACCAATATAGGTTTGTGAGGAGAGAAGCTCCTCCTCTCTTGTCATCAGCCACCAAGAAATCAAATACAAAGCCAGGGCCCCTGGGCCGTGGACCCCAGGTTGGCTGCCTCGCCCTCCAAGAGGCAGGAATCACATGCTGTGCTAGAGCCAGCTCTGATCCACAGACTTAGCCTTCTTTGGACCCAAAGCTGACTTATTTCTGCTCCTCTGTCCCCACCCCAGGCTCCATTTCATGCCCTAGCACTGCCTGCTGCTGCTGCCTTCACATACTTCCCCACGGCCCCCTCTCCCTGGAGCCCCTCGGAGCCTCTGAACCTTCCTTAAACATCAACACCCCCACCTTCCCGTCTCTTCTTACGTGGCCTGCTGAACTCTGCCAGCCCTGCAGAGCAGGCGTCAAGAGGAGGAAAGCTTTGGGGGGGCCAACATCACAGAGAGAAAGGGTTCCTGGCATTTTCCAGAGGGTGGGAACATGCCCAGAGGCTCGGGGGGGGCAGTGCCAGGCCTTCCTAGCTTCCAACTTGAGCCTCCATCCGGCTAGGCCTCTCCCTTCATTTGAGGGTGTAACACTGAAGACAGAGTGAATACAGGAATTTGGGCCATAAGACTGGCAGCATCCGCCATCCTCAGTCGGCCTTGGGCCCTCCCTTCAAGCCCCTGACCTGTGTTGCAGACCAGGAGCTGTGTGAGAAGGGCTGGACCAAGTTCCAGGGCCACTGCTACCGCTACTTCCCCGACCGAGAGACCTGGGTGGACGCCGAGAGCCGGTGTCGGGAGCAGCAGTCACGTCTGACCAGCATCGTCACCCCTGAGGAGCAGGAGTTTGTCAACAGTGAGTGCGGTGGGGCTGCCAGCACCTGGGAGGAGAGTGGCCATGCAGGCAAAGGGCCACACTTGCCAGAAATCAGCAGACTGGGGCCCAGTGTGGCTGCACGAGTGGCGGGCAAAGAAGGGCGTTTCTGCAGCCTGAGGTCCCTGAGAAAAGAGGGCAGAGGTCTCTGGGGCCAACGGCTCTGGCTGCACCCAGGACAGCCCACTGTCTGGCAGAGCCAGCCCCAGACTAACCCTGTGGCTGTTGCCAGTCCATGCCGGCTCGGGAAGGTGGTCCAATGTGCACTCTGAACGTGCATGTGCTGAGACCCTGGTCAAGACCTTAGAAGCAGGTGGCATGCTCCTAGGAGCCCACCCTTAGGGTGTCCAGAGCCATGTGCAACACCCACATCCTCTTTCCAGACAATGCTCAAGACTACCAGTGGATCGGCCTGAATGACAGGACCATCGAAGGGGACTTCCGCTGGTCCGATGGACACTCCTTGGTGAGTTCTGCCAGGGGCACCAGGGAAAGTTGGCAGCCCAGAGGAGGGGGATAAAGACCCCCAGAGAGAGACGCGTTCAAACCACATGCAGACACTCCCTGAGCAGCGGCTGGACTGGGAGCCCTGAGGGCGGGATCGTGTCTCCTTCATCTCTGCCTTTGGAGACCAGCCCAGGGCTGGACGAGTGGAGTGAATAAGTGCATGAAGGAAGAGGGGGATGAGGAAGACAATGGAGAAATGGAGGCAAACCACCATGGGGGATATATGGAAGCTTTAGAGGGGTTGCCCACGGGGGACTGGAGTCTCCTCAAGGAGTCTGCTCCGGCTTGTCCCAGAGCTCGGCTAGAGGGATAAGCAGTGGGGGTGGGGGTGGGTGCAGAGTCTGGACCAGGGAGCCATGTCTCCGCCACCCAGTCCCACCCAAGTGAGGCAGCCTGTGTGACCAGCCCCTGTGGGCCCATTTGGAAGAGGAGTGTGGCCGCAGCTCATTAACAGGGACCGTGAATCCTGGAGGTCCTGAGTTCCTGAGAAGGGCCACAGCCAGGCCGTCTGACCAGTTCTTTGGAGAGCCCATGGGGTCCGTGGCCCCGAGGAACCATGACCAGGCTCCCAGCAGTCTTTGTGCCGCTGCCAGAAGAGAAAGGAGACAGGGGAGGGGCTTGACGGGGGAGAAAGTGGGGTCAGGCCAAGCTGTGCTGCTCCCGCCCTCCCCTCACCCCTTCCCCACTCCCACCCACAGCAATTTGAGAACTGGCGCCCCAACCAGCCTGACAACTTCTTTACGGCTGGCGAGGACTGCGTGGTGATGATCTGGCATGAGAAGGGCGAGTGGAACGACGTTCCCTGCAATTACCAACTGCCCTTCACGTGTAAAAAGGGCACAGGTGAGCGGCGGCCTGCGAGGGGGCCCACGTGGCTAAAATCAAGACTTTAGGCTCCCGCTGGGTGACCTGTGAGTCCCTTGTCTCCTGGCTGCTGATGTCACCTCACCTGCCCGACAGATTGGAGCTGACCTCGGGGCCTCTGTCCGTGCCACCATCACAGGGCCAAAAGGGCGAGCCCACTCCTAGGGCCCGTGGGAGAGGGTGAAGGCCACAGGCTAGAGGACAGACCCCCCACTGCACACAGACACGCAGCCCCGTGGAGATCAGTACAGAAAGTCACCCGCCATGGCACGTCGGCTGGGAGCCTCCCTCTTTTCGGGGTCCCCAAGTCCGTCAGCCGCAGAGTGGGAGTTGTCAGGCCTTGCCCCTCCGCGTTGTCTGTGGACGTGGGGGTGCTGGCAGGACATGCCCTCCTGTGCCCGCTGCGGCCTTGCCCCGCGCCTCCTTTAGGCCCTGCTTTGCCTGCAGCCGTGTTTTCATAAAGAAGTCAGTCTGCCCAGCTCGCGCCCTCTTTCCCCACCTTTCTCCCTCCAGGTTGTCTTCTCATCCCCTTAAGACCCTCCTTTTATTCCCTTCCTGCTGCTCTAAATCATCGAGGAACCCAGTGTTACAGCCAGCGGTTCCCAGATTCTTAGCGCGGCATGAAAATGCCCCTTTGCCAGCAGCCAGGGCTCATGGCTGCATGTCCGGGCTCGATGTCCCTTCCTTGGGCTCTGGGCTGTCTCATCACAGCCAGAGGGAGCCACATCGGCTCATCACTGGCCTGGGTCATCATGGGAGACTCTAAGAGAGCCCTTTCTGAAGAGTGTTTGCCCCTCAGTGGCCTGCGGAGACCCCCCCGTAGTGGAGCACGCCAGAACCTTCGGGCAAAAGAAGGCCCGGTACGAGATCAATTCCCTGGTGCGGTACCAGTGCACCGAGGGCTTCGTCCAGCGCCACGTGCCCACCATCCGGTGCCAGCCCAGCGGGCAGTGGGAGGAGCCCCGGATCACCTGCACAGACCGTGAGCATCGGCCCCCCACCCCTCGCTGGGCCCAGCGCTAGATCCCGCCAGCACATCCTCCTCCTCCCTGTGCGCGGAGCACGGCAGTGGCTGGCCCTCTCCTGGGGATCCTGAATGCCAGCCGTCTGCACCAGCCATGAGGGTGGTGAGGCGAGGGGACTGCTCAGTCACGGGTCACTGCCCTCAGCCACCAGGGAGGGTTCCCTGAGAGGATGAAGGAGAAAGCAGTGCCCCACTCTCCTTTTCAACACCAGCTTGAAGGCCTTTAGCCCAAGTTGGTTCCAAGAAAAATCAAAACTGGGAAGCGGGTAAAGCCTCAGGCTGCCTTCGTGAGCCCCTGGTTTCTGCAGGGAGGGGATCCAGCAGAGAAGGGGCCGGATGAGGAGGGCTAGGCTGGCCCTGCGTTCTTCCCAGGGTTCACTAAGACTTTTCCATCTCCCCTTCACCCCAGCCGCCAGTTACAAGCGCAGACTACAGAAGCGGAGCTCCCGGCCCCCACGGAGGAGCCGCCCCAGCCCGGCCCACTGAGAGGGGCTGCCAGGACGCGCCCAGGATGCTGAGCCCAGGAGCCTTGCCAGGCTGACATCCCACACGGATGGTGTCCTCTTCTTGTCGCTTTCTGTCCTATAAGGAATTCCATTAAAGAAGGAAAAAAATAAATCCCACATTATGTATGCACCCACCCGCCCACCCCCCAAATCACCAACACTGCATCTAATTTTCCCCCCAAATGCCAAAGCACAGCAAATGTATTGTAACCCGTGGACTGAGTTTAGAGACTTTTCTTCAATCTCCCGATGTGCCTTTCCAGGGACCAGTGCAGGGACAGGGGGAGAAGGGGAGGGGTTAAGTTAAATAAAGAAGATTATTTTTTGTTTCCTGACTGTATCCAAGAGCAGTGCAATCGTTGGTTCTTTCACGTCCAGGGAGAGCTAGGGAGGAGGGAGGAGGGGCAGGAGCTGGAAGGGGCAGAAGCCTGAGGGCGGGAAGAACTGGGAACCGCAGCTGAATGTATTGGATGAGAAGGAGCCGGAGGGCCGCACCATCTGTGTGGGGGAGAAGCCTGGGGAGGGCGGGAGGCTTCCGGCCGAGGGTGAGTGGGCAGGAGAGAGCCATCGAGGGATCTTCCGCCGCGTGGGGGTCGGGTTCCCTCCAAGGTCCCTCTTCCAGCGTGCTCTCACCCAGGTCTGTCTGCCGCCCTGGCAGGTGTGGATCTCCGCAGGGCTGAGTGGGGGGCACTTCCTTCCCAGTGGGAGTGCCACCCTACCCCTCCCCTCCCCCTCCCCCACTCCCCGGGACCGTGCAGGCACCAGGGTTCCGTGCACCTATTTATATTTTTGAAAACTGAAGATTATGATAATAATAATAATAAAGACATTGGAAGAGATCTATTTCTTTTCTTTTCCCTTCTTTTCTTAATTTCAAGAAAAGGCAACCATGGTCCGGAGTCTACTGAAGTGGCTTTTAGAAATGGGGGCAGTGGGGACATGTTTTAATCAAATGGCCCCACATTGGTGTGAATCCTGTCCGTTCAGAAAGCCTGGGACGGTTACACCTGTTGTGCTTTGTTGTCACAAGGGTGCCGATGATTTTGATGGATTCTCTGCTGTGTGTGTGTGTGTGTGACAGTGCATGGGTGCTGTGTGAGGATTTGCAGGTTGGCACCCTGTCACAGGACAGCTCCACTGCACATCTGGCCACCTTGCATAGTTCGCTTCTTTGATGTCACACTGTTGGCTCACACAGGAGGAGTTGGTTGGTAAAGTGAGTCCAAGAACAGAGGCAAAATCAGGATTTAGGAGACCAAAAAAAATCGCAGACAGCCTGGGAACAGTGACTCTTGCTTATGCGTTTTTGGGGTAAATTGGTTGGCTGGCCGCTAGCAAAAACATCTGGGCGTCCTGCCTTTAAGCAGGCTGTAGGACATCAATGAAAACAATTTGAATCATTTATGGATTCCCCCAACCGACCTTGAGTCGGGCCAGAGGTGCATGCTGGGCAGTGTCCCTCCACCAGCCTCTCCGGAGGAGGCCGGGATGGCACCAACCCCCTCATCAGAGTTGCTCAATGGATGTTGAGTCTGTGTTCCTGAATGTGTCTGCGTCTTGGTTAGTGTGTGCCGGGGTGAGTTCAGGTGTGTGTGTGTGGTTGAGTATTTGTCGGTGAATCTGTACGTGTGCCCAGGTTACCTGCAGCTCTGGAAAGAGTGAGTGGACAAGAGCGGAGGGCGCAGCGATGGTCACATAGTAGGGCTCAATGATCGTGCAATTTATCAATTAATTGACCGAGTAGTTGGGAGCACAACCATGTCAGTGGTTTCCAAACTTGAGCCAGCACCAGAAATCAAGAGGGCTTGTGATAACACGGAGTGCTGGCCCCACTCCGGAGTTTCTGACTCAGCAGGTCTGGGGTGGGGTCCAGGAATCTGCATTTCTAACAAGTTCCCAGTGATGCTGATGCTTCTGGCCACACTTTGAGAAGCACTGGGCTAATGAAGAATTGACTGAATAACTGACTGTGAGTGGCAGAGGTGTGCTGGTGCAGAGGCAACTGGTCTGGTTTCCTGGGGTGGGGGCAGAGGGCAGAGGGTGAGGCACAGAGAGGGTGGTCCCCAAGATCCCTGGCCTCCGAGATCTTCTGAGGGGCATAGCCTCCTCCGGCTCCGGAGAGGCACCACCCACTCCTCTGCTGGGCCCTGCAGACACACAGCCTGGGAGCGGGGATTGTGGGGGAGCAAGCTGGAGCTACAGCTGCTAGACTAGCACCCGAGGCAGAGTGTGCCACGAGGCAGGCAAAGCCAGAACCAAGTCAGCCTGCAGGTGCAGCCCATGGAGTTCCCTGCCCACTCCACTGGACAGACCCCACGAACCCCACCAGGCAGGGAGCTGGGCCCTGAGACTGAACGAGATGCAGAGTGAGACAGAGAAGAGGGCTGGTACAGAGGGAGGGCATCATAGCACCTTTATTGTCCAAAGAAAGCACACACACCTGAGGGCCACTCCCATAATCTGGGAAAATGGGAAACAAAATACAGACTCTTTGGAACCAAAAGAGAAGGGAAGCATGGGGGCAGTTTCTCCCTTCCCTGGGATGTCACACAGAAGCCTAGGGACCGGCTCCCAGCCCTCGGCCAGCCAGCAGTGCTGATCTGGGCCAGCAGCTTCACAGAGAAGTAGGAGAGGGTAGGAGACTGTGAGGCCCCAAAGCCCAGCTCCAGAGCCCCCTGGATGCCACCCCCTCCCCCAGGCTGGAGGTGAGGGACAGCCGCAGCAACCACACCCTGACTCCTTGTGCCACTGCCCCCTCAGGGCATCAGCCCCCGGGGAAGGGAGCCCTCCTGAGCCCACAAACCTCAAAGGTCCCAGAGGAGAGGGGCAAGAGGATCCTGGAGGGGGGGAGCCTTGGGGTGTCCACAGAAGCAGAGGGAGGATTTGGGAACTGTAGGATTTACAAAAAAATTTGTAATAATTTAAAAAAATTTTTTAAGTTGAGAAGTATAAAAACAATATGAAAACTGCCCCAACTCGAAAGGGAAAATGAACCAGTGAATAAATAAAGCCCGCAAGGGGCGGGGCGGGTGGGTCCAGAGCCGGCGCGGGGTCTAGCGCGGGCGGTAGCAGTAGACGCCGTACTCGCGTCTCTGCGGGTCTGGGAAGCCGAAGCTGCGGACACCGGGCTCCGGGGACCCGCAGTTGGGACGCGGGTGAGCCACAGGGTAGCGGGCGCTGCCATCCGCCAGCCAGCCGGCATCACAGCGGTCCAGGCCACGGAACTTCCAGGCGGCAAAGAGCTGGCCCACCTTGGCGATCTGCGCGTCGTCCTCCAGGCAGGCCTCCCTTGCCTCTGCCAGCGTCAGCTTCTCCGGGTGCTCCAGGTAGTACACCCGCCCTGGGGAAAAGTGGGGTGTGAGGGCTGGGCAGCAGAGGGGGCAGCCAGAGAGGATGGCAGGGCCTGCAGCAATGCCAGCTCATCCAGACATCACCACCTGACTCCCAAACCCTGACCACTGAGCCCAGGGAGCCGCCATGCTGTGGGCATCTGCCGTGGACACTTCAAGGGGAATGGTCCCAGTCCTCATCCCCTCTCTGAGAGCTCCATCCCGCCTGCCATGGGGCTGGGGTCCCTCCAGTCATATCTGCATTCCCCCCACCTCCTAACTGCACCCTGGGTGGGCACCCCACTAGGCTGGACCAATCAGCATCTCTCATCTGTTCAATCATTTACTGAGCACCTACTATGTGGCAGACAGTTTTCTAAGTGCTTGGGGTATGGCAGGAACCAATTCCTATTTTCACTTGTTTATCCTCCCTTGAAGTGAACCGCTTTGTAAGGCGAGACTGTGTTTTATTTGTCTGTGATGCCCAGAGCCTCCTCTCGGCCCCAGCACGTGGTAGGCACTCAGGAAATGTCTGAGGAATGAGTAAACCAATGATTGGTGGGAAGCAGCAGCAGCAGCAGCACTCAAAACTCAGCCGGGTGGCTTCAAGATCTGCAGGTGCTCCAGACCTCCATGAGGAGGTGCCGGCAGGGCAAGCAGAGGGGTCCTGAAGCCCCCAGATGCTGCCCTCCCACCTGCAGGCCTGTTCTCGGCAGTTCCACTCACCCTTGAGGGCCGCAGTGAAGCAGAACACGTCATAGCGGTGCAGGCGGCGGTGGCGTGGGCCATAGCTGCGCACGCCGGGTGCCAGGCCCAGGCCGCCGCAGGGCTGCCGGGCCAGCGTGATGGGGTACTGCACCGAGGCGTCCTGCAGCCAGCCCGCGTTGCACCAGTCCAGGCCCTCCTCCCAGGCCCGGAACAGCTGCTCAAAGGAGGCCACCACCGCGTCCTGCTCCTCGCAGGCCCGCTTGGCCTCATGGAAGGTGAGCTGGTAGCGCCCCTGGGGGTGCTGGTAGGGAAAGACCACACCTGGGCGGGGAGGAAAGAGAGAGGGGCTTGGAGGGGTGGGCAGGGGCCCAGCTGGCTGGAGACCCCAGTCCCCTCCCCCCCTCTCCACTGGGACATATGCCCCCCCAACACACACACACACAGTCCCTCAGAGCAGCTCAGCAAACCGTCATCTCCTGTCCAGTGTCCAAGTCCAAGGCAGAGCCTACCTCTGCTTTACACCTCCCTCCTAGCACTTGCCTGGCACCCAGCAGTACTCAGCAAACATGTATTAGCTTGTTAAGGTAATTAATTAATCAGCCAACTAATGTCCCCAACTATAGAACGGGAATAATACCTAATTCACAGAGCTGTTGCAAGAACCCCAATGCTACAGTCTCAATGTCGAACCCCAAACTCATATGTCGAAATCCTAACCCCCAAGGTGATGGTATTAGGAGGTAGGACCTTTGGGAGGTGCTTAGGTCATGAGGGTGGGGCCCTCATGAATGGGATTAGTGCCTTATAAAAGAGACCCCCGAGACCCCACCCCTCCAGCCCCTTCTACCAAGTAAAGACACAGTGATAAGTCTGGGACCCAGAAGTGGGCCCTCACTCAACCATGCCGGCACCCTGATCTCAGACTTCCAGCCTCCAGGACTGTGAGAAATAAATGTTGTTTATACGCCACCCAGGCTGTGGTATTGTGTCCTAGCAGCACAAACGGACTAGACACCAGTGAGGATATGCTGTCAGGAGACGGCACAGTCTGGGCTCTGGGGGCCAGGTGTAGCTCCCCGCTCCCCCTCTCAGTAGCTGAGACCTAATCATCTATGTTAATTTAGAAGCTTCTCAGGAGAATACAAGGAACTTTCCACATGTGACAGATGGTTTTTAGGGGAAGGGGAGGCCCTAGAAGCCGTGGGAAGAGGAGGGGTCATAACAGGCCTTAATACAGGGGGCTTGAGGCCAGGGAGGTTCCGGGTGGGGTGCTTCTCCTCCTGGGTCCAGGGTCTGTTAGGGGCCACAGGTTCCTCTCAGAAGTCACCATCCGTGTTTGAAACTTGACCATAATAAAAAGTTTTTTTAAACATCCAAGATTCAGTCTACCAAATCATCATTTGGGTTATCATAGATAAACCCTTAAGGAGAAGGGGTGTCCCTCACGTCCTGGACTGGCATTGCTTAGAAGTAGGGCCTGGAGTCCTCGGAATCTCCTCCCTGTGGCCAGGGGCCTGGGAACATCCTGGGCCCCACATCCCCAGTCTCACCTGGAGCAGACAGCCAGGCCCCTGGGCGGAGCCAGGTTGAGGGGGGCCTCAACAATAAGCTCACAACCTCCATGTGTGTCTGCAGGGGAGTCATGCCTGGTTCCATCCCAAATTCCCACTTTTCCAGCCCCAGGAATGGGGTGAAGGGCCCCTGTCTCTCTAGGCTGCCCCTAAGGTCCCCAGACAAATGACTCACACAGGCTCCCTCCCATCCTCTACCATCCCCAACATCAGGGATGGGAACGTGGCCCCTCTGGGCCGCCATTTAAGCCACGTGGACTGGGGAGGTAGATGCTACTGGCAGAGGTCTGCCACTGACTGAGCCAGCCCTGGACACACACTTTATCCCACCTCCTCTGAGGGAGGTGAAGGAGGAAGCACCCTCATTCCCAGTTTACACATGAGGGCACTGGGCTCCGAGGGGATGTGGCATTTACCCAGGAGCCACAGCTGGGACAGGGTGGACAGGGAGTCAGGTCATCTTTTTCCACCCTCTAAGCTGCCCCCCTAACAGGTAGGAGAGACATGAGGACACACATCCCGTCCTAGAGACAGAAGTAGAAGTCACTTAGAGACCTCACTGGGGCCCACACACAGATCTGGCTCGCAGGGTCTAACTGGTTTGGAGAGCACTGAGTGTTTTTAAAAATAGGAGATTTTTATATAAAAATCCAGAGACTTCACATAAAAATATAAGCCTCTCTTGTCAAATCAGAAAATCTGGCTGGTTGGGCCTGCTTCTGGAATGGCATCATCAGCTGGGCCTGAGCAGGGCGGCTCCCTTTCGGTGGAACAAGGGCTCAGCAGTGTGCCCCAGTCCCCACCACTCCCTATCACCTGACATTCGTTTGTGTTGCCTACCAACCCTCCTTGAATCTCAGCTCTGCCTCTAATTAGCTATGTGACCAGCTCTTGTTTTCTTCTCTCTGAATGGGGTGTGAGGAGGAGGGAGTAGAGGTAGTGGATTCTGGAGCCCGCCTGCCTGGGGTCAAACCCCTACTCTGCTGTTTATGAGCTATGTGACCTTAGGTAAGTTACTTGACCTCTCTGTGCCTTGGTTTCCTCATCTGTAAAACGGGGGTGATAGTAGCTTCCTTGTGGATTTGTTTTGAAGACTAAATGTTTATCTGTCTAAAGCACAAAGGTCTGGATGCTTTCCAGGGCCCTCTCCCCTCGGCCCCCAGGTCCCAGCGATCCACCCCAGTCGGGGTCTCACCCCGCAGCTCCAGCTCCACCAGGCCGCTCTCATCTTCCAGCCCGTCAATGACCTCGCAGCGGTAGCGCCCGTAGTCCTCTGGCCGCAGGTCCCGGATCTCCAGTGACACTTCACGCTCCCTGTCCTGCCGCAGATGCACCCGGCCTCGGTAGTCTCCGAAGGAGCGGTGCCTCAGCCCGATGGCCACCAGCACGTCCTGCTCCGGGGCCCCATTCTCCGACAGCTTCCACCATTTGATGCGCACGGGCCGCGGGGTGACCAGGGCCGGCTCGTAGCGGTAGTGGCAGGGCAGGGTCACATTGGCCCCCCGGTGGGAGAACAGGGTCTCCTCGGGCATCTCCACCACCAGCTTCACTCCGTTGAACACGCCTGGGGGGAGAGGCGGGGTGCAGATAGGGACCTGCTGCAGCACATCTGTACCCCTGCAAGGGCACCCCACCTTCATCCCAGCCCCTGCCAGACTCAGGTGTTAAGAGATGCAAACATGGCCCCGATACTGCATGCCTCCCTGTATCCACACACTTTGCACTGTGACTTTGCAGCTCCTTCCATCAAGAGGTGACTGTTCCCTGCTCCCTTGAACCCGTGCTGGCCTTGCCACTTGCTCTGACCAAACGAACATGGCAGAAGTGACTGTTCTGTTGTGCCTGTTCTGAGCCGAGGCCCCAGGAGGCCCTGCCGCTTCCACTCTCAGAACCTTGCCCCCCCCGCCGTCAGAACAAGCCTGGGCCCACCTGTTGGAGGGTGAGAGCCCATGGAGCCATCCCAGCTGAGGCCATCCAAGACTCACCAGTCTCCAGCTGACCTACCCACCCACTGCAGGTGCACGGTGAGCCCACCCAAAATGCTGACCCACAGAATCATGAGCAAAATAAATGGCTGTTGTCTTAAGCCACGAAGTTTCTTACGCATCAAAAGCCACGTGATACAGCAGGCAACAAGAGCACCTCCATATGGGGTGGGTAGCTAGGACTCGGATCCTCCCAGTCTCCTTCCCCACCACACAGGCCGCAGGAGAGCACAGCCTGCCCTTCACTCTGTCCAGCTCTCCAGTGTGACTCTGCCCGAGTTCCTGGTGACACAGGTGAGATGAGGCCAGGGCTTCTAGAGGAGACTGTACTCAGGGCTCAGGGGTACAAATAAACCAGAGCCAACATGCAACACAGGAACCAGGTTTATGGGCCAAGGCTGGCTCGTCTTTAACTCGGGACCCCTAGGGGGGCCTTGCTATGTCACGATCTTGGGTGAGGACTTCAGGTCCCTGGAGGTACACAGAGTCGGGGCAGAGGGGTAGCCTCAGGGGTCAGCAGGAGATAGATGGGGGGTGGGGAGCTGGCTGCTCCCAGTAGAGGATCTCCTGCTGAAAAAGAGCTGCACCTAACAAACCAGATGCTCTGTTGCAGTGGTTCTCAAGCGGGTCCCTGGGCCAGCAGCATCAGCATCACAGGGAACTTGTTAGAAATGCACATTCTTGCCACCACCCCCGCAGACCTGCTGAATCAGAAGCTCTGGGGGTGAAGCCCAGAAATCAGTTTCCTAACAAGACCTCCAGGTGACTCTGCTGGCCACTCCAGCTGCAGGAGCCCGCTCTGGACAGGCCATGCACTGAGGTTTGAGACCACAGGTCCAGGGGCAGGCAAGACACGCTTGAAGCTTGGCTCCACCTCTTCACAACCGTGTTGCAGAGAAATCGAGCCTCAGTTTCCTCATTTATAGAATGGGATAATAACAGACCTACAGAGGGCTGTGGAGAGGCTCAAATCAAGTAAGGGACACCTGGCACACAGAAAGAGTTCAACAGACGTGAGCCCAGCTATCATCTAGTGTCAATGCCCTTTGTGTTCCCAAAGCTCTTTAGTAAAGCTGTATTTGAAGCTTTAACCTGTTCAAACGAAAATGTTTAGCTAAATCATATGACAAAATACTATATAGCCATGTAAAATAACCTGGTGGATGTATATTCATTCATTGACTTGGGAAACAATTTGTATTCTATGAAATGACAAGGAAGATTACAAAACCACATAAGGTTAAAGAAAATTTTCTTAATCGTATATGAAAGGCTGGAAGGATACACCTAAAATGTTAGCAGTGGTTCCCCTGGGTGGGGGGACTATTGTGACTTTGCTTGCATATATTCAGGAACTAAAGGGAAAGAGAAAAATGAAGAGTTGGCCTGGTCAAGTGGTGGAATTATGGGTGGAAAGTTGGTGTTTTTAAGTTTCCTTGAATCTCACTAAAGTAGTGCTCGTACAACAAAATAAATTCTGCAAAAAAGGGGTGTAGCAGTCTAAACAATGGCTCCCCAAAATATCCAGGGCCTAATCCCTGGACCTGGGAATGTTACCTTTTATGGTAAAATGGATTTTGTAGATGGGATTAAATTAGTGATCTAGAAATGGGGGGTATTCTGGATTTTCCAGATGGGCCTGAAATGCAATCACAAGTGTCTTTTTAGAAGGAGGCAGAGGGAGATCTGAGTACAGAGGAGGAGAGGGCAATGTGACCATGGAGGCAGAGACTGGAGTGACACAGTGACAGGCCACTGTATGCGAGTAGCCACCTGGAACTGAAGGAGGCAAGGACGGACTCTCCATGAGAGCCTCTGAGGGAGACCAAGTCATGACCAGGCTGGGCTGGGTACTTTCATCTTCTCAATCCTTCCACAGACAAATCTCAGCACAGCCTCTTAAGATCCATGTGCCCTGTGCACCTGGCTCAACTCTCTGAGCCTCAGTTTCCTCATCTACGAAATGGAATAATACATGGTATCTGCTCTCGGGGCTGTGAGGGCAGCCAGCATCAATTTGGCCTGGTCACAGCCTGTGCTGCACTGGTTGTTAAACATTTTATTCTCACCCTTGCCCATGTCAGGGTTTTTGTGAGGATCACATGAGAGGACGTATGTAAGGCACCTAGAAGCGTGCCTGGCACATAGGAGGTACACAATAACCGCTAACTAAAAAGTCAGCTGCGCAAAGCCATGTAGCTCGGAAGTGGCAACACTGAGATTCAAACTCATGTCTGTCTAACCCCAGCCCCCTCCACTGGGGAGATAAGGGGAGACCACATTCAAGCTGGGTCTTAAAAAATTGGCAGGACGTTGGGAAAGTATACAAAGCTCAAGTGACTGTCCCTAAGTGCATTTAGCGCCGTGTCTGAGGGGCTGGCATACACAGAGCGACTGAACCATCTCGTCTTAGACACGAGCCTGGCCCACTGCAAAGACCCTGATGGGAAGGGGGCTGCTGGCCCCAGGCCCTGGCCCGGTCCCAGCCTGGAACCTGCAGCTCACAGCAGGTGTCAGGGGGGGTCTTGGTCCCCCCACGGAGCCAGAGCCTGGCCCAGGAGGCCGCCCACCTTCGCCGCGGCCGTTGCCGGTGTTCTGGCCGCCGGGGCCATTGGAGTAGTAGAAGCCGTTGTAGAGGGGCAGCGCGGGGACGCGGGCCAGCGGGAGCAGCAGCAGCAGGAGCAGCCGGCCCATGGCGCCCCACGGCGGCAGCTCCAGGCTGTCTGGGCAGGGCTGGGGCCCGGGCACACTGGGAAGAGGAGAAAAACAGGCCAGTTAGAGAGGCCCCACCGCCAGGGGCCGGGGACCCCGGGGCTCCAGCACCTACTGGCTCAACGAGTATTATGGAGCATCTCCTGCGAGCCAGGCACTGTGCTCAGAGCCAAGAAGACAGCAGTGACGAGCCAGATGAGGTCCCTGCTCTCAGGGGGCCACACCCCGCAGGCAGGATGGCAATGAGCAAGCCAACAAATCCTAAGAGTTAGGAGGCAGCAAAGAGACCACGGAGAAATTAAGCAGGACAGTATGACAGTATCGACATTTCTCAAACTGCAGGTTTGAATTTGAAAAGTTGTGAGCAGCATTTTTTAAAGACATCGAAGAGACTAGACTGGACTAGAAAACATCAGGGCGCATTCGTGTTCGGGGAAGATGAGTCCTGCATTGTGAAGCTTTGTTTCAGCCCAGAAACGTCTGTGCAGATGAAGTAGGGAGGTCACATGTGAAATTTATTTATCTTGGGTCAAGGTCAAAAAAAATCTAAACATCATAGTAGAACACTTCTGAGGGGCTATTCTGGTTTCCATGGACACTCAAATAAAATAGGCAGCTCGCCCACAGGTTATAGTTTGTTGATCTGATTTTTATGAATATTGCATTAAAATATTATGTCTTGATTATTTTTTTGGCGCACACACACTCACTCCCTTAAATTTTGTGCCCAAGGCTAATGCCTCACTCACCTCCCCTGGTCCCTGCCCTGCTCACCGCCATCTACTGAGCCCTGGGTCAGGCCTTGGAGGAGCTCAGTGCAGGGAGGGGGCAGAGGCACGATGCTGTGTGGCGAGCACAAAGATGGGGTGCAGAAAAGGAGTGTCGAAACTAGACTCAGGACCAGGAGTTAGCCAGGGTGAGAAGGACAGCAGGGTTTGCCCAGCAGGGATACAGCAAATGCAAAGATGCAGAGACCAGAGCGAGTGCCTGAGGGCTGGGGGTGTGCCGGAAGTTCTCCATTTGTGCCCCACATCTGCCCTTCTCTGCCCTGATCCCTGCGTGTCACTTCTCCCAGGCGCCCTCGCCCTGTGGCTTCCAGCAGGACTCAGCCCACAGGAGGCACCCACAGGAGACGCGCAGGCAGGGGAGGAAAGAACAGAGAGGGCATTATTTCCCCCCTGCTGGCTCCTTGCTCTAGTGCCTCTGCCACAGGTCCGTCTCTGCAGTACCTGTGACCCTCGTGACCACAGCTCCGCCAGCGGCTCCTCTGCCCAGCACCTGCTCTCACGGGCTCTGTAACACCATCTCTTCTCCTGTCCCCTCCAGGCCTGGGGGGCAGTGACAGCTGCTTGTCTCTACGTCCCCCACTCCCCCGTCTGTTGCCTCCACCCTCCTCTCTAGAAGTCATCCCTTCATTAGAGTCTCTTCACTGGAATCTTCTAGGGTGAATTCTGCTTCCTGCCAAGCCCCTGGCTGCTATCGGGGAGAGGTGACAGGGGTCAGCAGGACCAGTCTTGGATGCCCTTGGGTGTCAGGCTCAGCAGCCTGTCCCTTGTCCCAAAGGCCCTGGGGTGCCAGGAATGGCTTTATGCAGAGGAGCCACAGGATCAGACCTGCATCTTAGAAACATCCCTCCAGGGGTTGGGTGGAAGGGGACTGTGGGGCAGCAAGCCCTGAGTGACAGCAGGCGTTTGGAAGCATAACTGTGATTATCATGCAGCAATGTGGAAAAATGCTTAGGGTGTAATTTAAAATAGACAAAGCAGAACACAGAATTGCCACTCTGCTAGGATTGTAAGTATGTGGCCCTACAAATGCCTGTGTACAGGAGCCAGAAGGGGAGGGAACAGAGAGAAGGGGAAAAGGGATGGAGGGAGGGGAAAAGAGAAGACAAGCATCGGCCTGTAAGGTGGTGGGACTGCAGAGGAAACTTTCTTGTTTCAGAACAGTGAGGAGCTCTCGCTGGGGAGGAAGCACGGATGCAGAGGAAGCTGCGAGGCAGACTTCGCTGTTCTCGTAGGCATCTTCACAGAGGCCCCGAGGCCCAGACTCGCCCCTGGGCCGTGCACTGCCCTCTGAGGCCTCACTTCTTGTCCAAGAGGATTCTCCAGGTGACACTCATACAGCCTCCTGGTGACGTGGATCTATGCAGCTAACCACAATCGGGCACCTAACACAGCAGTTTGGGGACAGGAAGATCTGGGTTCAAATCCCATCTCCACGACTTACTAGCTGTGTGACTCTAGACGGGCTTCCTCATATGTGAAATGGAGATCATAAAACTCACCACGGCATAATTCTCACCAAGATGTTCTACTTTACTACTAGAGTT